ATCAATCGCTCAATATTTCTTCTACTCCTTTCAGTATGAAAGAAAACTCTGATGAAAAGGGTAGTTTTGTTATTTCTGAGGAAATTCATGATTTGGCCAAGATGAATTGATGCATATATATTGGTCATGTGTCCTTTTATGTGCCGATGACTCTTTGTTCTCTTAAAAGAAAAAAAAATCCAATATAAGTACATCCTCCATGATAAATGCAAACAACATATTTGTATTTCCTTTCTGTAAATATTGTAAGGTTGATTCCCTCGCTGATGCTTTTTGTTCGGCAATCATGATAATCTACCTCTTTGTTTCAGATAGTTGGCTTTTTGTTGACCTATAAATCTGTCGAAGTCAATGCAATTAATAGTCAGCATGAAACCGCTATGGATTTAGCAGATAAACTCCAATACGGAGAATCTGCGCTGGCAATTAAGGAAACCCTAGAAGAAGTTGGTGCTAAGCATGCAAGGCATGTCGGCAAAGTGGATGAAGCAATGGAACTCAAAAGGGCTGTGAGCGATATAAAGCACGAGGTGCACTCACAATTCTTGCAAAATGAAAAAACCAACAGGCGAGTTTCCGGTATTGCCAAAGAACTCAAGAAAATTCACAGGGAAGCTGTCCAGAACACCATTAATTCTGTCACAGTTGTCGCCGTTCTATTCGCCTCCATAGCTTTCTTGGCAATATTCAATTTACCTGGCCAATATCTAAAGGTTGGACCTGAAGCCGGAAAAGCTCAGATAGCCGACACCATTGCATTCCGGATATTCTGCCTCTTGAATGCTACATCCCTTTTCGTATCTTTAGCTGTTGTCGTGGTTCAGATAACTTTGGTTGCTTGGGACACAAGCGCTCAGAAACGGATTGTTTCAATAATCAACAAGCTCATGTGGGGCGCCTGCATCAGCACTTGCGGGGCATTTCTGTCAATTGCTTTTGTGGTTGTGGGAAAGCAAACCTCGTGGATGGCTATCACTATTACTTCAATAGGAGCACCAATTCTTGTGGGAACTCTTGTTGGCTTGTGTTATTTTGTTTTCCGGCAACATTTTGGGTTTTTTGGCAACGATTCTCAGAGACGCATCAGAAGGGCCAGCGGGAGCAAATCTTTTTCATGGACTTATTCTGCTAATATTTCTGATTTTGATGACGATAACTCCGACCACGAGAAGATGATATATGCTCTCTGACATTTGATATAGGGTACCAAAAAATGATGATTTTATCGTGGTAGCAATTTGGTCTTGTGTAACTGTGGTGGTTCACTAGGGTTTCAGCTCTGTCAATGGGCTTTGAAGGTTGTGGACGGGAGGTTTTGTTTGGTTTGGTTTAATCTTTTCAATGGGCACTTATGAAAAGAGTTGTAGATTTTGTATATGCATATATTAATATTTAGCCTGTTTAGGTTTAATAAATGTTTTGTGAGTTCTTGGCATTGTTTGAGACTTGTGATCAAATTGATTTGATTAGAAAGAGATGAAATGTCCCTCTTCGAGTCTGGAATGTTCAATGCTGGAATGTTGCATGTATGGGTAAGTATGTTAGGTACATAATCCATAATGCAAGGAAATTCTATGGTATGCACCCTATCATAAATTGGTGTTATTTTATCACAAAATTTTGTGACATCAATTACAAAATACGTAATTTCATCACGAAGTGACGTAACAAAAAATATCATAATTAAGTCAAACTTTTGTTATATGAATTGTAATTTTGGACATTTTTTACATTAATTTATGGTAAGATTGCGTATTTTGTGATTTATATTATGAAATTTTATGATTGATATTATAAATTTTTGTGATAAAGTGATATCAATTGTCCATCATAGGTTTCCCTATAATCCAATAGATGATTTTGTAAAATGTGGATTTGATAGAAGTTAAGAAGGGTGTAAGATTTAAAGTCTTTTGTTTTGTTTTTGTTTTTTTCTTTTGGGAGAAAAAGGTAAATTACATTGACTTCCTTTAAGATTTGAACAAAATACAATAAATTTTACATTTTTGACATAATTATATTTAGTTCATTAAGATTTTAATTTACGTTTCATCAATAATTTGTTAATTATATAGATTGAAAAATAATATCGTCATATCTTTTACATTTAAATATATATCTTGCTTTATTTGACACTATCTAAATTAATTTCGATTCTTTTAATTTTATTTAAAAAATTAATATAATTATATTAAAATTATAAAACATGTTAAGAAATTAGTGTAATTTATTTCCCCCAAAAAAAAAAAAGTAAATAAATAAATTGAAGGAACTATTGCCCCAGCTGGACATGGGTCGCAAGGGATTGGGGTGCATGTTGGGTCCAAGGTACAGACATTCTATGAACTTACATGGGACCTATTTCATCCTATGGAGATTATTTGAACCGTTTATCATGTAAAATATGTTATATGATTACGAGAAGTTATTGGTTAGTCTTGAAATATTGCTCCACATTAATTATTGAGGGACAAGTGTTTCGTTATCTCTTAAAAAGAGACAAAAAGGTGGTGAGTCTCACTAATTCAACCAATAACAATTAAGTTAGAACACCACATCAGTTTGTCCCAAGAGCAAACAATAATTTTCCACCGATTAATTATGTAAAAAAATTAAATTGATTGGACATTAACGATTACATTTATTTTACATGATTCAATCACATCTTCAAATTGGACAAACAATGTGATTTTAAAAATAATTTTTTTTAAAACAAATGTTATTCAATCAAATATCTATTGATATTCAATCAACTTAATTTTTTACGTAAATAACATTGTCAACCCCCTGTGGAAATGTCTCGCAGCACGGTGAGAAAATAAAATTATGTACAATATTACTGGACCCTTTAATTGGAACAAGTCACTAGATTATTGCTTGTTTTGGCAATTCACTAAAGGGGGATGCACCAATAAATCCCAAATTAATAATTTATACACTGTTTAGTCCTAAAAGTTTTCTTATAGACTGAAAGGTCCCATTACAATGTTAATAACATCAGATACAATGTTAATAATATCAGAGTCATGTTACAAACATTGGATTTCAAACATCTAATGTTCATCAAATTTCAATAATGTTTGAAAATATAGGATGAAAAACATCTAATGTTCATCAGATTTCAATAAATTTTGAAATTATAGAATGAAACATCAGATCATTTACATCATTCACATCATGTTGATGTAAAAATGGAACTAAATGGAGCATAAGAAAACTTTTAGGACTAAATGGTTCAACGTTTCAAAAACTAGGACTTATGGGTAAATTTTCCTTCACTAAAATACTCAAAATGTCAAAAAAAAAAGTCGCTATAAAAAAATTAACACTTCTCTTTCCTTTTCTATATCTCTCATTATAAAAAAATTTAAAAGTGAACTAAAACAATCAATTCTCAAAATAACTTTGAGTAATTTTACTTACACCACAAAAAGAACTCATTACATCCTTTAATTTTTAGAATGATTTTACTTACATCACTAGTTTATCTCTTTACATCATCTATCTCATTACACTACTAAAAAAAAGAGTAGTGCTATGAGTACTCCATCTTTTATTTTGAATCCCTCATTTCTTTGAACCTCCACTTATAAATTTTAAAATCCTTAAAATTTATTGTCTCCTCCAAATAATACGAAAATTATCCTTGTAAAAATATTTCACCAATTCAATTGAATGCACACCCCTCACACTCTACACTCCAAAAAAATCTCTCTTCCAAAACCTTTAACAAAACCCACAAAGAAGAAGAGCTAAGTGTGATTACTGTCTTTGCCGCGTCATTCTTTTCTTCAATTTAACCAGATGTTCTCTCTCTCTCTCTCTCGCCTCATCCTTTTCTTCGGTGATTACATGTTCAGTAACTTGTTTCCGAACAAATAATAAATGTTCAATTACTAGTTTTCAAACAAATAAACAATGTTCGGTCATGTGTTCCTGAATTTCGATCATATGTTCAGGAATTCAGTCCTGAAAGAATGGCGAACGTATTTTATTATTTTTGCCATTTTTTTAAGAAACTTAGCTAAAAACACCATCAAAGTTATGAACCTCCCCTGAACTTTTATTATTGTACTCCTCTCGTCTCATGGAGTTATGGTTATTGAAAAAACTTTCACTCATTGTCATTGCCAGAAAAGTGTAGGTAATCCAATGGTTGCTACCGTTACCGCCAGAATATTGCCGCCAAAAGGTTTTTAAAGTTTTGAGAGTAGGTATGTCTTGAAGGTAGGATTTGGGGAAAATGGGTGGATGGTGATGAAGGTATGTGCTCTTATAAACCCTAATTCATGATATAGTGGGTGTATGGGTTTAATTGTGAGATGGAGTGTCCCGAAATTAATGATGTTATTTTTAGTAATTTTTTTTGAGGTTATTATTGTAATAAAAAAAAGCTAAAAATTGAGGGGTCTAAAATATTTCAATTGAATGAAGCTATCATAATACTGAATATGAAAATCCCTTAAACCAGTGATGGTGGCTAAGTGGCGGCACTAGGGTGCGCGCGGTGCGGTTCAAACGATTTGAGAATAAAATTACAAATTAAATAGCGGATTGATAGATTGGCAAATTGCGATTTGAGTGGTTTTGAACGGATTGAAGAATATTTTAACCAATTATCAAGTCTTTGCATAATATATAATACTGATTTGCATAATATTTTTTATATGTATAACACAAACTAATTTTAAATAATATTTTTCATATATATAACTACTAATTTGTAATAAATTTTACACATTAAATCTCTTTCACACTCATTTTTATTTTGATATTTTATTATACGTTAAAAAATATATATATGTATTAACTATAAGGAAGCGGAACTATTTCGAAAACGGATTATAAACTTTAAAGATTCAATCACTGTTAGCGGATAGAGAGGTGCAATTTGATGCGGATCGATATAATTTAGCGAATTGGGCAATATTTTACATAAAACAGTGGTGACTGAAGGTGGAGGAGATGGTAGTAAGAGGTGATGGGATGAAATTAAGGTTTCAAATGTGAATGCGTGTAAAAAGAGGATAAATTGATAATGATGAGGATATATTGGAAATTATGGAGTGTAATGAGATGAAATATGGTACAATAAGAAAGGTAGTGTGAGGAGATAAATATATGGTGCAAGTAGAATTACTCTAACCTTACATAATACAATATATCTTTAAAAATATATATATAATACAAGCACTACTTAAAAAGAAAAAAATTAAAAAGTTCTAACTTTGGATAGCTCAACATAAGGTTTGGACTGCCTTGCCATTGGCCCTCTAAAAATTAAACCCATCTAAAGATACTACTTTATCAAAATAGGCTCAGAACAAATCCCCACAGAACCTTACAGCATGTGCCCTGTCTTATGGCACAGCAGAGTCCTCAGGTCTCTCAAAACGATATCACGTTACTTTGCCAATGTCTTCATTGTTTATACAGCCACTTAATACTATTAAAAATACCATTCAATCCGTGAAAATCACACTGATTCATATTAATTCGTCCCACTCTATCGGCTAACCACAATTTAAACTTTCAAATTTATAATCCACCTTCGAAACCGTTCCATTCCACTATAATTAATGCATATATGTATATTTTAAACTATCATGAAATATCAAAGTAAAAATGAGTGTGAAAAAGATTTAATATGTAAAATTTATTACAAATTAATAATTATATTTATATATATATAATATTATGTAAAATTAATTTTTCTTATATATATATTTATGAAAAATATTATGCAAATTACATAATATGCAAAGACTTGATAAATTGTCAAAATATTTTTCAATATGCTCAAAACTGCTCTAATCTCAATTTGTCAATCCATTATTCGGTTTATAATTTTACTCTCAAATTGTTCGAACCGCACCTCGTACACCCCTATAATTACTAAGGCATTTCCATTGAGAGGGAGGGAGGGAGAGAGAGAGAGAGAGAGAGAGAGTGCCCATAGGCTGTGTTTCGAAAATGAAAATCAAAAAATTAAACACAATCTCATTTGCAAAATATTGGAGCCAAAAAGGATTTGAAATGGAAGGTGTCTAACAAAAACTAAGTAACAACTTTTTGCACAAACTTAGATGAAACAAGAACATTAAGGACGTGGAAGGGATAATCTTTACTAAGATCAATGTGTACATGATTATTTATTTTAATTGTTGGAAGGGAGAGAGAGAGAGAGAGAGAGAACAAACTGCATTATCTAAATCAAATTTCTACCTCTGGCCCATATGGTTTCCCATAAAAAAAACAACAGAACCACATGAGCACATCCTGTTCCTGTTCCTGTTCACAGAGAAAAAGAATAACTCCGGTAACACCGGAGCGCAATTCAAATCCCAATCACCCACCCATCTCACCATCCTCGGTAAGTTTAACAAAAACAAAATACTAGACGATATACAATTTACAAATTCTGATCCTCGTATGACCACCCACCATTAGGGGTAAGAACCGAAAATAGTTACAGTTGTAATTGTCCCGGACCTCTATGTGATGATCTTGAGGCCGCTCATGTCTGGCACTGGCAAAGGTCGTCGGGGTTCTTCTGCTCTCTGCACCTCCTGCATAAACTTCATGTCAAAAGATTTCGAGCAATGGAAAAAAAGTTGGAGTGTTTTATGTTGAGGAAAGAAAACTACACATACCATAGAACATGAAAAGATATTAGATGTGATAACTTCAAACCGAACCCCTTCCCTCCCTCTAAACATTATAAACACAGTGCTATAAAGCTTCACTCCGACTATTAGGAATAACATGAATTTACTTTCAGGCCATATTAGCCAACAAAAAATATCAATCACGGCTAAAATAAAAATAAAAATGTCACATCTTCCAGCAGATTCTGTTCACATTTTTTGGCTTTCCATTCACCTTAACCACTTCCAGACCATCAGAAAAATCACCAAAGAACTTGTTCACAGTGACTTGAGCATCTTCAATAGGCCCTTATTCTTCAGTGAACACATCATAACCCATGTATCTCACCCACACCTTAACCAAGAATCAAAGCACAGGTCATCCCTAGTTCTTGTTATTTTGGGTACATCAGAGACCATAGCTTGGAAAGGGGGGAAGCTTGCCTCCTTCATATTTATTACACATACACTACCTAAATAAATAAATAAATTCTATATCCCAGTTGCTCTGATTAAAATGCATTGCAATGTTAAATGGAAAAGCCTCGTAAAAATAATGAAAATATTGAAAATGATAATTGCAGTTCTCCGATGAGTAGTAGAATGAAATAGGAATAGAGAACTTCGGTGAACCTGTGTAGATGCATAAGAACTGTAGCGCAATTGTGTTTGTGATTTTGAGTGCATACGATGCTTCTGCTGCATCTGCTCAAACTGTTGCAGCCAGGAAGCAAAGTTTATTCCATTGTGCACACTCTGCAAATTTTCATCTATGTCACCATCCTCAGAGAATGATCCACTTGGCCGGTGATTAATTTGGGAGTAAGAGTTTCCTGACGATGTCTGTTTGAACTGCTCACCATTAAAGGAGTATGAAGGCACGGCTTTTAATCGAGTTCTTAGAATCTTGAAGGCCTTACTTTGCTGCATTCAAGGGTAAAAGCACAAAATAGTAAGAAAAGAGTCTATGCAATAAAAGCAGTAACAGAGGTACAGAATTAAGAAATTTTAAATTTTAAATTAAACATGTCTTGAGTTTTATCTTGTTTAAAAATCCAATCTACGAATATGGTCCCTTTTTTTTTTTTTTCCCCTCTATCCGAGTCCAAAAACCGAGATTGAATTGCCAACACCAAATTGAAATATCATGATTTTACATAATAAGAAAGCATTTAAATTTGATAGAACCTGGAATGCTTAAGCAAGGTTCAGGTTGGTAATCCCACATACTTGAATAAGCACGGTTGACTGATCAATTACATAGGTATTTAATAGGAAAATACTAGTAGACCATTACATTATTAGTTTAGTACAATGAATTAGACTCGATCACCATGCCATTGATCTAATTCTAAACCCAATAATGAATAACCATTAGAAAATCAATTAGTCTGTGGATCAACTAGCAAAGAACACAACATCCCAGTAAAATTGAAGAACAAATCAGTTACAGGTCGAAATTTTAAATGAAGTTATGAAATCCTTGGTTCCCAGAGAGGTTTTCACCCCGTCTGATACCAAAGGAACAGTATATTTCCTTATTTTCTTCCATAATCACAAAGAGCATAAGCTTCTTGCCAAAACCATTGCAGCATGATCATAAAAGTGGTCACATGGCATCTAACAATTTGGAGTGGACTACTTGCTAACCGGAGCAGAATAATGAAATTAGCCCAGACATACCTGGGGAAGCAGCATCAGAAGACCATACAAGGATTTTAACAGCCATATATATCTTCCGGGTTCAAGAAGCTGCAAGAAACAGAAAACAACTGAGATGCTAAAGATTACCCATTTTTAAGAAAATTAAACATAGGTAGTACGAAATAGTCAATCTTTAGACAATAAATTCAAAACAACACATGATGTTTTAATTTAGTTTCAGTACACACAGGTTTTGTTGGATTAAGGAAGACCAAAATGGGTGAAATTTTTTGTGACCCAAAAGAAAAGGTTTTGTGTGATGAGGTCTGTAGATTATCTGATCAGCAATTCAAACAGTATAAAACATAAATTGTATTTTCATATTTCATAAACTGGTAAAAGGCACAAGTACAGAACCACGCAATCAGTAACATAAATTGTATTTTCATATTTCATAAATTGTTAAAAGGGCATAAGTAATCATTGGTAAGAGCATTGTTACAGTAAATGACAGCAAATATAAAACAATATATGAAGTTTTAATGTAGTCTCAGTTTCCAATAAATATATGAGCATTGTTACGGTAAATGCCATTAGATGAATGTGTATACATCCAAGAAATATGGCACACTGATGTACAAACTCCATGTCAACAACACAAATTGCACATTCATAAACTGGTAAAGGGAATATGTATAATTGTAAAGGCATTGTATCTATTGTTGGTAGGGCTGCAATTAGACTGAGCAGAGTATTCGTCTGTTCAAGCTTAGCTCAATCTAATTTCATGTTGTTCAAGCTCAATATTGGAAAAACTGGGTCAAGCACAGCTCATCCTGCTTTGTTGAAGCTCAAGCTCGACTCTTAAGCTGTAAGCTCATTTGCACAGCTCATTTTAAGGATGCACCAGATGGTGGAAATAGGAAGAGGAGAGAAAACCCCTTATCACGTACATGAAGGAAAACCCCATCATCTCTTGTGGGTCAGTGCATCCAGATTCTGAACATAAATTTCCCAAAAAAAACAAAATTTAAAATTATTATACTTATAATTAGTGGTTAGAGCCACACAGCCTCCATCACGTCCAAAATATATTCAAATATTATAATTGTGATAACAATCAAACGACTCAAATGTGCCCCAGCCCAATGTAGTGTTTAATTTTGGGAGGAACACAATTGATTTATGAAATATTGAACAAATTTCTCCCTTCATTTATATATATATATATATATATATCCTGGATAAATGTGCCCAACCCATAGTATGAGACTGGTAGAAGCCACAGTCATTAGTTTAGCAGAAACCACCTTGCGTTAACATCCAACCAAATTGTCCAAGTCAAGTCACCACTTCAACTTTGATTGTGTGTGTCACCCTACAATAGATGGGCATGTCTCTCTATTGCTCATAGTTCAACACATTGTATCTATAACTAGCTCCTAACCACAGAAACGTAAACTTATCAAGAATGAACAACTGAATGAGAGAATTTCAATAGCATTTACCCAGCACAGGTGGGTGAGTTGACCAAGGCAATTGCTCATTTAGCAGAGGTCTAAGGATTGGCACAGTTTTGGTCAGTTGCACTTATCTATACTATTTGACAAAAAGTGATACAGGACACCTTTCTTTTACCACAAACTATAAGTAGGTAGATAAATAAATAACATCTGAATAAAAAGGCCATAATGACAACTTTTTTTAAATCCTTCTTTGCTGTCATTCAAATAGCCCTTCTTCAACACCTCTGTAGTTGGACTGCTTGCGCCATACTCTTGTTGAGAAAGTAGGCCAGAACAAAAATTAACAGTTCTAATGTGCTCTCCTAGACCACCTCCTTGTACATCTACTTCTGCTGAAGGGTGACTGGCAAATTCATCTATCCTTCCATTGCATTGTTTTAACTTTTCATTCCTCTCATCCAGGAGGCTAATTGTTGTTGGTATAGAGTAACTTAAAAGATATGTAGCTGCCAACTGTTAATGTTCCATGGGGCAATGCTAAAGATGAGTTTGGCAACTATTTTAATATCTATGAAGAAACAAATAGGACATTTATCAAGTGGCGCATCCTTAAGGCCATCTTCTATATAATGAAGTTCCAATCTCTTTGTATGCATTACTTCTTAACTCAAAGGTATTCTACTTGTCAACTTCATGAGGGAGCTGTCCATCTTGCCTCTTACTACCTAGCTAGACAAGCGACCCAGCCGTTTCAAAGTTTGATAGGCAGAAATTGAAGCTTAGTCACTATTGCCTGGGGAAGCAGGCAAATGAGCACTGGAACAATTTCAAGTGATTCTCTTCTCAATGCTTACATAGTAGCTATGAAATTCCATCTCAAGACCCATAGTGGAAACCAACTCACTTGTAACAACAAGAGGACTAAGTTGTTCACTGGTCCCATAAACAAACTCATCTGCTGAGAGCAATTCTTAACCCGTTCTGGACACAATAGTCAATGCTTATTACTCCTTATACTTTGTTGTGATTTCCCCACAGTATCTTGTAATTGGCAGTTAACAGAGATTGCAGATAAAAAAAGATTTAAGTTAAAAAGAAAAAGTACTTGAGCATATTTGTTTCAGTATTTGTAAATTGTATGCATCTTTTCTTCTCTCCTATGAAATTCTTCACATGGTTGAATATTCTTGTCTCACTATATATTTTTCTTTCTATTACTAATGGCACTGACAGACAAAAGAAAGTAACTGAAAAGGAGAAGGTCCCTCAAGAAGCAATGATAGCCACTAGAACAAATCATTGGTGAAACTTGATTCCAACCACACACCAAAGTTCTCAAGTGGGAAATGAAGGTAAAAGACTTGTTGGGTGCCATAATTGAGGAAAGATTGGACATAGTTCATATCAAGAATGTAATTTATGATAATTGAACCACTGGCAAAGAGACCTGGGTAATTTTCTTTCCTTTAAACATTTATCCAGTGCCTTAAAACAAACTGACAATCAATCACCAATAATTAGATACCATAGTATTTTTTAAAAATACCACTAATAGAGCTCTAACACTTATATACATCTGATTTTCTCTCCACCAACCCTGTTTAAACATGTCACAGAGAAAAGTTATTTGAGATACTTACAGAATAGCAGGCTACTTCCAGAGGCTACACAGTCAGATAGATATAAGCAACTTATTGTTTCAGTTTTTCTCTAAACTAACTACGATTTTTAAACATATTCAACCTCTAGCATAGATTGATTTGAGAAAATACATGTATCTGTATGGAACGGGTTGCAGTAAAAAGCACAGTGGAATGCCTAACACACCTGCAACTCAAATAGAGCTATTCCTAGGAGGCTTAAGAAGCGTACCTCCCCAAGTCAAAACTACAAAAGGAAAACAAATTTCACCATGCATCGATGAAAAAGTGGGCTGCAGAATTAGAAACCAGAAGGACGTAATGACTTCAGGCAAGTTGGTCTAGAAAATTTGTAAGAGGAAACTGTGGACAGCAGTCAATACCATACTAGAAATCCATAAAATTTAAAGTGACCAAATCACTGCTTCCCACAGCATTTAATTTGTAAGCATATTACTAACTCATTGAATAACCCAAAATAAACATCTATTTTAAATAAATACGTCAAAAGTTAACGAAAACAAAGGTTTTTGAGTATCCATCAAGGAGTCCGGAAGACACGATCTCTAAATAAAAAAATGGCTTCTACAGCAACCAGAAAATTTGGAAAGCACAGCAAAAATTTATTGACAGACCGAAAGAAAATATGATACTAACTCGTAACTCTTCACCAAGAAACAACACAACACTTTGATAAAAATAAAGCAAGTGGGAAACTTTAAGCTTATTTACATAATAACTATAGAGAAGATAAAGCACCTGCAACCTAAGGTAAGCAAAAATTGGAGTCTCCAGTAGGTGGATCAGTTTGTCCAACTGAACCAAGAATTCGACGTTGAAATCTTCCTCAACCAGAGATTGTATGATGGAACTCGCATGCTGGTAAGCCTGTCAATCAAATCATAAAATGCAAAAAGATCATGCGAAGATGGATAAAGTATTACCGCATTTAGCCACAGAGGAGAAAGTCAATGTGATTGAATAAGGAAGACGGAGGAAGCAAATTCAAAAATATTGGTCATATCGACAGAGTTATGGAGCCATGCCTGAGTTAATAAGCAAAGACTAATAATGGCCATTGGCGAATGGCACCATGAAGAATACAAAGAAAGAAATAAGTCTTTCCCAGCATCATTGACCAGTGATTGTTTGAGAAGATCACGAAGCTCGGACAACTCAGAAGAAGTAAGCAAAATCAAGTTCAAAGCCTGAAACAGAAAACAGAAATATGCAAAATGGTTACAATACTAGGAAAGTAAGAACCATTTTATTGTGAAGGTGAAAAGAATGAGGGCTCAAGAAGATTAAGGATGAAATCTTTGCCTATTGTACAATGTCTCAATCAGTCTATATACCATACAAAACATAATGATAAAGACTTCTCTGGTTGTACTATTCCATTTATTAATGACTGCCCATTCAAAACATCATCATTGTGTTCCTTTTATGATAAGTTGTCAAGTAGATAACAAAACCTGAACCATAATTGACGCAAAATCCAATTCAGATTCTCGCTCGAGTATAGTGGAAAGTTCCCGATAGACTCTTTCAGCATCTAAAAGAACACAAAGACGGCGAATTATCAAAGCCCCACGCCTGAAAGAAGGAAATTGTAGCTGATAAAAATTTACATACAATATTTGGCTCATGTTAAAATATATTAACAGAAACACAATAATTAAATTATTTGAACCATAAAATTTCAAAAATGGTAAAGGGGGAAGGGGGCTGTTGGGAGCTCACTTCTCCAGGAGAGTGTTGTCAACCCCGAAGTTATGCACTAAAAAACCAACAAGCTGATGGAAATGTTGTGGCTCTTTGGCTATGCATGCATGCACCTCAAGAACCAGGAGTACTACCTGGAGAAAGGGAAAAAAATGGAGTACAATGCACATCACATAATTAAAGATACAGCTCCCAATGAATAAATTTTAACTTCAACTTAGCAAATAAAAAAAATGGAGCACTTTTAGCCTCTATGGCATGAGAGGGGCTATTTTAAACATAAATTCTTGTTCAGATGTGTTATTTACATTCTACAAAATGAGAGAAGAAAAGAACAGTAACAAACCAACCGGCATATAATAATCAACAAGAGATTGATAGCAGCCTTAGCAGATGTGCTAAGAAACACAACTACAACTGTTATTTTTCATTAACAATGATACAATATTTAATAGAAAAGAAACCACAAGACCAAGTAACCAAATCCACCCGCCCACAAAACAACAAGAAGTGAGATTTTAAACAGAAAAATGCAGCATTAAGTGTGGATTTGCATTCTATCAGTGGAATTTGTTTTGTTAGAGCCTTAATATTAAGAAACTCCCACTTGCGTGACATTTCTTACTTAGAAACTCAATTCTACACTCCTAAGTAACAAACTTGTAAGAAATTTGCTCTCTGTAAAGGAAAAAACTCAATCCCAACTGAGATAGAAATATAGAAACTCAATCTCAAACATACAAATCTCAATTAAACAAAAGAACAGCAATTCAAACTCATTATAGTACTTCCAGTTTACATAATATTAATTTATGCTTAACAAAGACAATTTGTAGTTGATATCAATCTCTAATATATATTTATATTTTAATACATACAATTATAACCAAGTAGAAAAAAAAATAATAGCTAGAATATATTTATATATTTAATATATAAAATACATACACACTCTTATAGGCGCTTCCAAGCTTAAAAACTTATATGCCCCCACTCCTATTGGTACAGTCTATTGTTGTTGTCAGTGATGAGGGGCAGGCTGGTGATGATAGGTGCTTGGAGTTACCCAATAGGTGGGAGGCCATTTCGTGAGACCTGCAGATATCATGGGAGGAGAGTTTCTTGAAGATTGCAAGAACTTTGATGGAGCTCTAATTCGTCTACGTTGCTAACTAGGACCATGATCTTGCCCAAAGACTTTGCAGTAGGTGATAATTTTAGAGTTTTGCCATTGCTTGGGATGAGGCTGGAGGGCGTGTTGGTGACCAGAGAAATGTATCCAACTGGGTGTTGAGAAGGATGAAAGGCTTTAGCCGTTTTATAGGTGTTTCTTGTTAAGGGATGGAGGAAGAGTTTGATGCAGTAATTTGAATTAACCGAGGCTAAATGGTGGAATGCTTCAAGCAGTGATGGGTAGCATAAAAAGGAGGGTCAAATAAATCAAGCAGAGAACCAAGAATGTTGGAACAGTCCTTGAATTATGAGGAGAGGAAGAAAGGCAGGAGCAGAACCAGACTTTCGTTTTCATCATAGATTCTTCCCATGGATATTCTTCTACAACAAAACCATTTGCTACCAAGTCCTCTAGTCTCACCAAAAATAATTTCAGACTAGGAAAATAATTTGCAAACAAAAATGTTATACAAAAAACACATCCAAAATGATGTGTCAATGGCATTTTGAAATTACACATGCCAAGCCACATTATCCATTTGATCATTTTCATCAATCTTTAATATTAAGTGTCTATTGCCTCTACATCCACCACTTCTTATTTTGTTAAATTAAACTTAATATGGTCAATTATCCACTTCAACTTGATGATGTTATTGCCTTTGTCATTATCAATTCTTTACATTTATGAAGTTAGACTTGATAACGTCAATTATCTCTGTTGATCACCTCCATCATCACTACTTGATTACCTACAATACTAAAACCTAAAATTAAGCTCTAGAGGCTGATTATGACCATTAATAATTAGGCTATAAATATAAATCTGCATCTTTTTGCCTCTCTTTTTTCCTATCCAATCATCAATGTCAATATCTTCTAGTATTACCATCGATCGCATCTATCATCCCCAATTTTTTCTTTTGTTTGAGTTAAGCTTGTGGAAAGGTATCTGAAATAAGTGTGATTCCTTTTCTGATCACATTCAATTTAGGGTGGAAATGAGGCACATGTTATTGGAGCCACAGATGGTGAGAGGAGAGGATAGTCTATAGGAGTCATTCACTAAAATTGCCTATATTGCTCTTCACATGCAGATCTCGGTGAGTGATTACTTGAATATGGAGGATGGGTAGGTTTTTTAGGATATTGTTCTTTGTAGGTGGGCTAAATGACTGGGAGTTGTGGACTTGCAGGATCTTCTTGGGCATCTTTATTTGACATGTATTGATGATGGGGTGATTTGGTTCGATCGTTGAGATCCTACTCTAGGAAGTTTAATCTGAAGTCTTTTTATGACTATTGCACATTTTAGGGGTTCTTCTTTCCCTTGGAAAGGGGTATGGAATACAAAAGCCCCACTCAAAGGGGCTTTGTTTGATTGGTGTGCTACACATGGGAAGATCCTCACTATTGACAATATGATTAGGAGAAGGCATGTGCATATTAATTTGTGTTGCATAAGTAAACATGATAGCAAATAGGTTAGCCATCTTATACATTGTGAGGTGGCTCGGGAGTTGTGGTGTTTGATCCTTGTCATGTTTGGCATCGTTTAGGTGTCTCCCAAGAAGGTGGAGGCGCTTCTATAATGATAAAAAAGAGCTCGTGTGGGAAAAGGGAGAAGGAAGACTAGACATTTGGTTCCATTGGCTTTAATCTGGATAGATTGGAGCAAAAAGAAAAACAGACCTTTTGATCGCAAAAAGAATCAATTGTGCCGTTTAAGAGCAAATCACTTTCTTTTTCTATAGTTGGCTTCGGAGGAAGGTTAGTCTATCTTTGACCCAATTTTTAAACTTTTGAGGCCTTTTTTAGGCATTTTGATGTATTAGATGGTATTGTTCTTTTATAAATGGGTTGCGCACCCACTTGATGCCTCTTACTAATACAATTTGTCTACGACTCTATCAAGAAAGATACAGTATTTTAATAAAAAATTAACTCGTTTGACAATAATATAAAGCAAACCAAAATTGAGCCAAAATCAACACTTCTGCTGCTGAAAGAGTTAATTAAGCTCAATTGTTGACTCCATTTGACTACAAAAAGCCACTAACTATCAATTCTTAATTTTATGAATGACTACCATGCATTTTAGGAATGAAGCCACATGTTTTATCTCTCTGTGTTTTTTTCTTTTTTTTTTTTCTTTTTTCTTTTTTTTTTAATAGGCAGAATGGATGCCACATGTTTCAAAAAATGACATTTTTATTTTAAAATATAAAATAAAATTCACATACCAGAAGACCAATTATTCATAACTGCTAATAGTCAACCACAGTTACTACCAAGGTTTCAAAAAACGGTTGCGGTAGCCGTAACGATTATGGAGGCGTGGTTACAGTTGCGGGATGTAAAGGCCGTAGCGTAAATGTTGCGGTAACCAAAACCGTGAATTTTTAAATTTTTTGCACAATTTGAAAAAAACTTACTGATACACATTTTTTTTTTTTTTCAAAATCTCATTTATTAGGGTTTGAATTAGATTTTGATCAATTTTTGTTAAATTTTAAGTATAATCCTATATATTTCATATCTTTAAATCACTATAAAATGAGCTTTTTACATTTTATTTCAATAGTTAATGACTTTAAGAATAATTGATTTTAAATGTCTATAAAATTATCCTTGACCAATACCTGAACTAACTAAATAAAAAAATATTTACAATTATTAAATGAAATGATTATAAAAAAAAAATTATGCCATAAACAAAAAATATTTTGAGCTAATGATTTTTTTTCAATAACATTTTTTTAGACAACACTTTACAACTAACTAAATTAAATTATTTACAATTAAGTATTAAATAAAATGATTATAAAACTAAAAAATGTGCTATAAGCAAAAATTATTTTTGAGCTACTGATTGTTTCTTTAAAGACATTTTTTAGACAACACATTATAGTAACAAAATAAAAATATTTACAATTAAACATTAAATGAAATAATTATAAAAATAAATACAACCATTGTTTATATATTTTTTATTTTACATGCTAAAGTAATGAAATAAAAATTAAAAGACAAATTATTTTTTTTTTTTTTGGAAGGAACCTATTTAAAATATTGTAACCGTGTGTAATGGGCCATTACAGTACCGCTACGGCCGTTACACACGTGACTTTTCGTCACACCACAAAAACGGGTGTAATGGGTAGCGTTTACCACCGCAACCGTTATGTAACACCACTTTTTGAAACCTTGGTTACTACTAAAAGGTTGTTTGGGATGACCTAAATAAATGTACTTTTTGTCTTTTACGAAAAGATGTGCAAAAAAGTAGAGAGGTGATGTGATGGAAAAAAGATAAAAAGATGGATTATTTTGTGTATGCCAAACTTGGCCTAAATATTTTCATGAGTTCTAACAAATCAAGGCAGAAGTACAAGTTAAAAAATTTTAATGAGCAAGTACCTAACATACAAAAGAGAATGTCCATAACCCACCAAAAAAAAAGTAAATAAATAATTATAAGCAACAGATAGTAAAAATCAATCGCAAGAAAATAATTATACACAGCCAAATGAATTCAAGAAGAATATGGAAAACAACAATTTATGATGCTGTAAGTTTAAAATATAAAATAACCAATATCAAAATGCAATTTCATGAAACTATCAGGCAAAGCAACCACAAAAAGATGATCACCTCATCAGATGGATCTGATAGTGCCTTCAGAAGAGTATCAATTGTATTGTTCAGGAACGACAAGACCTGTTTCAAGTACCCCAAAAAAAAAAAATCTGAATCCTTTGCTCATTAAAACAAGACTATTGACACTTGAGTAAGGGTATGCCAGTATGGTATGTATGCCTAGAAGAAGATGCAACCAACTAGTACAAATAAGCAGTCAAGTTTACTATATAACTAATCATAAGACTTTCATTTTAAATATAAAATGCTATATTTTAGTTTGTAAGTCACTTCACCATTAAAAAATAAAAGAATTTTTTAAGAATTATGAATATAGTCATGTTTTGCTGTATTGAATGAATCATACACTTAAGACAAATACCCGCACCCAACACTCAAGTTCATATAACATAGAAATAAGGTGTCCTCAAACCACTAAAGGGGGCAACACATTGAAAAAACTAGGGGCCTGCAATTTAAAACCCAATATTTCCCAAACGATTATAAGAGACTCCGATGAATTACAAAAACCTTTTCCAAAAGAAAAAGGGCATGCAGAGACCCAAGATAAACTGAAAACAAGAGGAATAATCTCATAATATAAGCATGAAGACGGAGGAAGCAAAATATATATATATAAAAACAACCTTTGACATCATGACTGAACCACCCCACCCAAAAATAACAGAAAGTAAAATTAACATTTTATTAAAATAACAATAAAAAACAACTGAATAAAAACTAATGCGTAAAAATGAAAACTAAGGTAACTCCAGATCCCAAAGAGAACATATTCACAGGTATATCAGACCAAGAAAAAGTGTGCACATGAACTGATTGGCAAGTGCTCTATTCTTCCATGGTTACCTCTGCACGATGTCTATTTAGAAGAGTCATAATCCAGTGCAATGCTTCAATTCGAGTCGCCTCATATTCACTGGACAACTGCCTGATAAGAAGAACGATCAATGGCAACTACCATCAAACCAATTTATGCACTACCACTCCTTTTTTATAGAAATTATAAATGCAGCTTATTTTATCTTTTTTAAGAAGTGAAAAGCTAAATCAACACATAAGATTAAAAATCCCCAATACTAATAAACCTAGAATTTTCCCCAGGTTACAAGAACTATACCTCCTTGCAATAGATAAGATTGCTTCTACATTAAATCCTTCAGCTGGATCAGCCTTGATTGCCCGAAGTTCTTCATTGGTCTCATGAGCGACCTGGTAGTAACAAAGAAGAAAGGAAAAAATATGAAAATAATTTTTTACAGAACTATCATAACCACCCATATTATCTTTCTTTCTTTCTTTTTCCCTCCTTTGTTTGGAGTTTGTTGGGGTTGTTTCTGTACTGAAGGGAGATTGTGAGCAAAAAAGAAAGAAAATGAGATGATAAAGATAGTATTAGAGATGAAAGAGAAGAGCAAGTCAACTTACAACTCTTATTTTTTCTTCTTTGTCAGATATGCAGGGCAAAATAGCTCCCAGAATATCAGCATAATAGGGAACAAGTTGGTCCCCACCAAGTTTTACAAATTCATTTATCTGCACAGAAAAGGTCACACTTAGATCATCTGAATACCAAAACACTTAATAAAATGGAATAAACTTTGTTTATGTGCCCAGAAAGTCACAAGAACAGGATTGGCCAAAAACCATGTCAATATGGAAGAAAAGAATTTGTTCAATGATCATAAGCATCAGCAACCTTACCCAAGTGATAGCAGTCAAGCGAGTAAATTCATCTGGGGAAGCTGCCCTTCGTACCACTATTTCAGTCATTCGACCATAATCTACAGACTTCAAGAGTAGCACTGCTCAAGTCAGAAAATTACTAATGAAAGATAAAAATTGTCTGTCTTAAAATATTTCCAATATCCAGAATAACTTCAATGCTATTCTTCATCAAGTCAAAAGTTTATACATGCCCACCATCATATCCATAAGTACTCACTGCTTGTCATAATTCATTGAAAGAGAAAAAGAAAAAGAAAAAAAAGAAAAAAGCAATGGGCTAGGCAGTGGAGGAAAAATTATATGCCAAAGTACTTCAATATAATGTGCTTAAAAACTGGCTGATACCAAGTACAAACTTTATATAAAAGCTAATAGTCCTATACAAAATTTGGGAAAAAATAATTCTGAAGTCCAAGAATGTATCGAGGAATGGGTTCACTGTCTCTCATCCAACTGTGAAACAACCAAAAATAAAATAAAATAAAATAAGATAAAATAAAATTACTCTTCATTTAGATTCAAACCAGGTAGCTTACTACCAGAGATCAGTTTCGTTTGGTTTGAGTTTTCTGGATTAAGTTTTTTGAAAACTGAGTTTTTTGGTTTTCGTGTTTTTTTGTTTTAGTGAATATTTTTAAAATTTTAAACATTTTTTTTTACTTTTTTAGATGTACCTTACTTAGATGTATCTAAAAAGTAAAAAAAAAATGTGAAAAAATATTTTAAAAAATTAAGAAATACATAAAAATACAAAAAATGTACAGAATTCTTATATTTTTTTTTGTATTTTTGGTATTTAGTGAATTTTTAAAAGATTTTTTTTACAATTTTTTTACTTTTAAGGTGTATTTATGTTAGGTGTGTCTAAAAAGTAAAAAATTTGCATAAAATATTAAAAAAATTCAGTAAAAACAAAAAAACACGGAAAATAAGAAAGTAGAACTGTTTTTAGAAAAATGGAACCAAACATAGTATTCAATAGAAAGTTTCTATATTCCATCAGAGCAGAGATCTTACTGGAGAGTTCTTGATCTCTTGAAGAAACTCAGAAAGTGCTGAATCAGCTTGTTGCCGAATTTCATGACTGGAATCACTTAACATGTTAAACAAACCTGAAATTCATCACAGAGTGTGGATTATATGTACTTGCTGCCAAAGAACTTGAACCTGCATAGCATGAGTCTATCAAGTTCTGAGCTATGAACATTTACCATCAAGAAAATCGGGAAGAAAACCCAACATATCGATTTCTGGAGCACCATCTAGGACAGTGATCCATCCTACCAAAAATTGGCGGACATAAGGATTTAGGACATGCATACGCTCTCTCAGCAATGGTATAAATTCTTCAATGCTGAAAAGAAAAATCAAGAAACAATATGACAAAGTTATAGAAAGAAAAATAAATAACTCTTCCTAGAACCTTTAACTCATGATAGACAGATCTGAAACTTGAATGAGAAGATGGAGCACCTGAATTGATCACAATCTGTGACAATATCCTGTTCCCCCAATAATTAAAAGCATAATTAATTTAAAAAGCATATTCATCAGAAAAAAATAAATAAATAAAGCCCAAATAAATATAGAACTAATGGTCACCTTTACAAGTTTATCTAAAAGATGAGCAGCACTCTGAACATTGGGATCTGAGTCTGCTGAAAGCTTGCATAAGGCATCAAAGATCTTATTGAAAAACACAATAAAGTCTCCCCTGACAACCTGGAAAGAAGCAAGGAGATAAGTACAATAAAAATAATACAAGCACAATAAAAATCCCCAATTCATTCTCACCTTTGCAATGTTATATAGAGCTTCACAAGCATAATAACGAACTCTGCTATCTTGATCGGAAAAGGAACTCAGCACAGGTGGAACAATTTGCTGGTAGAATGCATCAGAAAGGAAAAATTTAAACAAAATAGTCCAAGGAAAAAAAAAACAAAAAACAAAAAAAGATAAAAGAAATATTTGGCAACTAACAAAATATTTAAATATTTTCAGGGTAAGAACTGGAATGCGTTTTAATACTCCAACGAAAATAAAATTTACCAGTACTTAAATGGCATGAAACAGATGAAAGTTCTTTATTGGTGCAAAAGGGACCAAAAGGTTCTTGTACTATTAACAGATGTAAATGCATGAGAACAAGGAATAACATCATGGCTACCCAAACTATGGGGATAAAAAGGACTTTGCATGGAGCAACACCATCTGTCCCCTCAAATTGGTTTCAGAAAACAATTCACATTTCAAACAAAATATTCCCAAGCTAGAAATTCTTCATGGAAACTTGATAAACATTAAACAAATAGATGATCTCAACTTAAAAGAAAAGGCCCACTATCATGTGGTCCACCTCCAATGGCCAACTCAACAAGTGGCACTGGCACAATCAGTTCAGTGTTTGGAAATTACAGAAGAATAATTACAGTTATAACATACACAAAAATGCCGGCTGCTACTTCTGATGAACTTTCGAACTACCCATGCTCAATTTGGTGCTTTTTGAGACAAATTCAATTCACAAATTTCTATTTCTCCTAGAAATGTCATAATCTCTGTTATTAGAATCTTACGATTGGCGATTCTATTCACGATTCGATTCGTCATTTTTGCAAAATTAATACGAATCTACGGGTGAATCTATTTTGAAAGTGAATCGCATGATTCACAATTGATTCACGATTCGATTCACTTTTTATGATTCATGCAATCTTTGAAACTATCGAGACCGACATATTTTTTACTTTTTCTTTCTCTATGTTTTTATTGAAAATGGCATAATACAACTTTAATAGCGTTTAGTACCAAAATAACTAATATATATACATGATTTGTTGTTATTTTAGCGATCATAGAGTTTTTAATTGGATCGAATCAGATTCAGTCAGACCCAACATACTTTTAATCTTTATTCTTATTTTTTTTTCTTTTCCTTTAAATAATCATCATATATCTTCTAAAGATATTTAAGATTAATGTAACTTGCACCATGAATTATTTATTGCTATTTTATTAAATTAAATATAGTTGCATATTACATGGGTGAGGTCAGTTATATATTTTAAAATGTTTTAGACTTTAAAATGAAAGATCTCAAATAATGTTTTCTAATTATTTAGTTATTGTTACTTGGAAAAAGTATGTATGCTTATTATCCAAATATTAATATCGTTGTTAAATTATTGTTACTTTGGAAATTCAAAGTTTGTCTTTGTTTATTGTTTTTATTAAGAATGGTTGATAAGAAATGTCTAAAAAAACGAAAAGGTAAGACGGTGATCTTGCATCGGAACCTTTGTTAACTTCTTACCTATTAAACTACATGATCATCATTCAAAACAACATTTTCATTGATTTAAGTCTAAATATTTCATATTCATAAGATATATTTAACATCCAAGTGCGTAGATATATTTTTTCAAGTTATTTAGAAAAGTGATTGAATCTTTACAATTCACGATTCGATTCGATTCGCGATTCGGTACGAGACCATTTTGATTCACGATTTGAATCCCGATTTGACAACTATGTTTAAGATAGCCATGTCCTTTCATATCACCTCAACCCAAGTTCTCCTAAACTTTTCTCTATTTCTTTTATCACCCGCCACGTGGATCAAATCACTTTTTACAGACACAGTAATCACTTTTAACTTCTTTTTTAATGGATTCATTTCTTATTTTGTCTTTGATTAGAACATCGCTCATCCATCTCAGCATTTTCTTTTTTTCTTTTACTTATTTATTTTTTATAAATGTAAGTGTACTAAAAAGGAGTGTTAGAAAAGGCGTAAATTTGTTTACACGAATTATTCCCTCTACACATTCTCATTTTAGCTATACTCATTTTTTAACATGTTTTATCTTTAATAGTCCAACATTCAAGTACCATATATTGTAGCAAGGTCTTATAGCAACCCTACAAAATTCCCCTTTTATTTAATAGGAATCTTACAATCACACAACACCCTGATGCACTCCACTTCATGCACCCCTCCCTAAATCTATATGTAATAACCCGACTCTCTCATATACTTCATATGATTTAATTCCCTCATTATATGTGTGCTTATGTGCTTGATGTGAAATTCCATATTTAAATGTGTGAATTACATGTTTATAAACTTATATCTGTTAGTTAAGAGAAAATCTATTGAAATTACAACCTTTGCATTGGAAATTGAAAGCCTTAGAGGCGCGATAAACTGAAATTGACTTTACAATTATGATTAGCATGATTTTTAGAACATAATTCAGGAAACTTTTGATGGACCTATTTTGTTAAACTCCAAAGTTGGAACCTTTTGTCTTTTTGAGGAGTTCCTTTGATGTTACATTTTTGTTAAGTCTTCGGTGGCTTTTATTGAACACTTGGTTTATATGTAAATTTTAGGTTGTTAACTCTTTGTATATACCTACATGACTTGGACTTGTATTTATATGAACTGTGTATGTAAACTCTCTATAAATGGCATGATGTTTTAAGATCCTGGTATTTAAGCACTGCTCAATGGACGTTCTGTTATTTTATTTGCTCCCCGTTATGATAAATTCTTTGTAATCTGTCCGAGGCCGTAAGTAATCAAGAGATTACTGACCGGTCATGATCCAAACTTTTAGGGGCAGGTTTGGGTCGTGACACTATAGGTCACATCCTCCTCATTTCGCCATCTTTTTAAACAATTATCCAAGATCTCGAAAATATTACCTCATACCCATCAAGTTCTACTTTACTCCATCCCCATTCTAGTTTTACTAAAATTGCACTCTATATATTTTTAATCCTACTTAACCTATACTCTCAGATTCTAAAATATTTCTCCATAACTCTTGCTTAAAGTTCACTCAATTCTCCTGTTTTGCCAACTAAGATTATATCACAAACAAATAACATACACCAAAAGACATCTTCTTGAATGTTACTACTAAGTTCATCTTGTAACAGAATATTTTGTATTGCCAATTTTTGTGGACAAAATTTGGTTGTAATGGATTGTCTTAGATGTGTGCAGGTATTCCGGTCATTTGTCTTACCCTAAGAAGCACCGACACATCTAAGAAGGTAACGTGTTGTGTCGACACTGACAAGACATGACACTCATCAGACACTTCCCAACACTTACGCACACAAGAAACACGTTACAAGTTTGAATAAAATAACTTGGAATAAAATGACAAAAACAAAAACAATATAAATTTATACCAATTTTCCTCTTTTAGACTTTAAAACTTATTATCTTTTAGATATTCATGACATATAATTATTTATCCTTGTATATGACATAATAAATATATAAAATTATATATTTTGCATGTGTCCTCTACGTGTCATGTCCTATACTTTTTGAAAATTTGCATATCATGTCTGTTTTGCATGACATGTCCATGTCCATGCTTCTTAAGCCTTACCCAATCAGTCTGGCACACCGAGTTCAAAGCTTTGCTCCATTACCTGCTCAGGTGAAGCTTGCATATATGTTTTGTTGCATAAAGTTTCTCTAAAATAGTGTTTGAAAAAGATACAAAAACCTTTTATTGAAAAACATGGTCAATATGGACTCAGCTATGCAAAGTGATCAATCCCTTTGGGATGCCATTGATCGCTCTTTCAGCATAAGAAAGTGCTCAAAACACGATCGATCACCATTCGATCTCTCTTTTAACAGAAGCAAGAGATCAACTTGCAATCGATCCCTAAGCGACCACTTGGCAACAAATTTTGTACAATAGACAGCGATTGATCTATTTATGATGCGATCAATTGCTCCTTAAGTGCGATCAATCACCTGTATAGTTTTTCACAAATCCTTTGTTGAGTTGGTTTTAAAAGTTGTTTTTATATAAATAAATCTCCTCATCCTATTTTTCAGTATTCTAACTATTGTTTTTCATAGCCAAATTTTGAAAACTCAACAATAATTCTTAGCGATAAATCTGACGTTCGTGAGAGAATATTCTTGAGTTAGTTTTCTAAAAACCCTTAAAAAACAAAAAACCTTGCATGTCTTTGCATTGTTCGTTTTACAGCCAAGGCCGATTGGGTAATCAGAGCCATTCAAAAACAAAGATCGACACCTGGAGCTTCGTGTGTCCAGAAGATCAAGAAGGTTGACTGGGTCAAGTCGCATTAGTGGACCTTCTATAAATCAACAACAAAGTTAGGTAATCCTAGATGAATGGTTTTGAAGTTTTAGAATAACAAAAAAGGGCCCCATACTCTTATTTCTTCACCCTTATTCAATTCTATCTCTTTCTCCTTGCAAATAAAATATTATTTATTTTCTTATTTTGAATTGCTAGTGGATTACTTCAATTTGATGTCAAAATCTTTCCTGGCAACTTGTGAGCCCGTCCAAGAATTTTAGAAAAACCAAAAAGGGCCCCATACTCACATATACCACATCATTGTTACCTTCGTCTACCTCATGATCATATATCGGCATTGGTAACACAAAAATTTTAAAAAACTTCATTGAGACTCGCCTCGCCCTGAGGCTAAGGTAAAAACGCATCAAGGCTTTGATCTATACTCCTTAAAAGCTTGCGCATGACAGTCTGAGGCATGCACTGTAGGTGCGCCTTGGGCATAAGCATATGAGTTATATGCGTATGAAGAGGCTGCCTTATGCATATGAAGAGGCTGCCTTAGGCTCTTATTAAACTTAGTCTAAAAGATGGTTTAATTATAAAAAACAAAAAAATAAGAAAGAATCCTTCTTGCAACTATGTTCTGTAGAAAAAATTAAGTAAATGACCAATCAAATAAAAACACAAAGTTAATGCTCAAGTGAGAGGCTCAATTACTAAAGTTAAGAATATCAATTTCACTTTCAAAGAAGGCAAGCTTCATTCTTTGCAGTGAAATATTCGACGCCTTAAGGAAAAAAGTATTTACAGCTTCATATTTAATTTTTACTATTTTAAAATATTTAATTTATTTACTAAATATTATCATTTAAAATTTGAAACACCTACACCTCGACACCTTAAAACTTACGCCTCACCTCATGAGTGATAAAACGCCTCAAGTTATGCATTCATCTCTAAAAAATTTAGGTAACACTGCTCTACAAGATCAAGGACAAAAGGGAGATCACTTTAAATTTAATGATGTGGAGATTATCATGATAATATGACAATCTTTGTCAAACCTTCAATTGCAAAATTCAAAGAGACAACTTCTCCAACAAGAGGCAATTAATGCAACTTGGTATGACAAGCATTCAACCTAAAATAGATTAAACTTCATGTGAACTGGAAGAAGACAACATAGCCTTTAAACTTGATGCTTACCACCTAAGATTGCTGAAAGCATTTTATTTATGAAAGTTCCTAGTGTCAAATGTATCTATATTTTGTATTGTTGTACCTTTCCATTTTTTTAGTAAAGTTTTGAGGCTTCAAGTAAATAGGGATCCTAATTTGTCAACATAATTAATAGCAAAAGTTCTAAAAAGTTCCTGGTTACTTTCTCAGCCACGGAAAAGCTATGAATAGGCCTCACCAAAACAAAATAAGATCAATCCCCGATAAATAAATTCAGGTTGAAAGAATCGAAAGGGATTTTTCACTTAGCCTATGTTATTCAAGACATATACTAAAATTCTAAAACTTAAGCATTAACAAATTGGAGGGTATAAGCTGTTCTACTGAAAAAAACAACATGTACATAAACAATTTTGTATATTTTCCAAACCTCCCATACCTCAAGATGCTGGGCAGCTTCACCAGTCAAAGCAACTGTGGCTGCAGCCAGTCCAATCAATCCTCCCTTAAAATAAATAAAAAATCAAAATTCAAAACATCAATACCAAAATCATGGAAATTCTAATATACACACCCTTCAAAGGCATGTACCATATGCACCCTTAGATATGCCATTTTTGTGTTAAAAGTTATTCGTTGTGATATTATTTTAGTTATGTTATGACATATTTTTTTAAGATAGGACTCAGAAAGAATCTTGCATATGGTACACACCCTTTCAGGGGTGGCTACCATAGTGTTTCCCCAAAACCATAGAACACCACTATATATATATAGTAAAACCCTAGTTTTCAAACCTGGCTACTTACTTTCCGGTGATTCACCTGTGCCGAGTACGTGAACTCATTGGCCAACAAATTTATCACGGCCGTAATCTTATTGTGCTCTCCCGCCGCCGCTAGCTGCTTCACGATTCCTTCAATCTGCACAATCATCAAACATTCATTCACCCAAAATCAAGCCACCAAAAACCTTAGAACGATGATCAACTCAAAAATTGAGACACAAAAGAGATAGAAAATTCCAGTGAGTGCAAAAAGAGTACCTCAAGAGCAGCATTCTTCCGCTTCTCGTAGAGTTTGTCGGAGAGGTTTCGGAGAACGGCGGGAGGAATCACAGAGAGCGCGTCGGCCATAGAATAAAAAACCCTAGAATCGTTTCAATCGATTGAAAATGGAAATCAAAGTTGTCGTCGTTTTCTGATCTTCTCTTGCTGTAATCGGAACATCTCTAACGAACACATAGATTGTATCGATAGAGAAGAGTTCGAGATTTGGCTTGAGAATCAACAACAGATCTGAAATGGAATTGGCAAGTGAATGAAGTGAACTCACAAATTTTCCCGGAAATTTTCCTTCCAATTTTCTTTCCGAGAAAATTTCGTTGTCCGCACTCGCTGTGGCTGTGTTTTTAGCGGTTAAACGTCTCGGCCAGCGTGCGTTTTTAATGTTTGGAACCACAGACAGAGACACAGAGATGGTTACAGAAATTGCGGCTGAGAGTCGTGAATAGAGATGGCAATTTCAAACCGGCTCAACGGAGATTCGACTCCCGGCTCCGAATTGTGTGGGTTTTTTTTGAAAAATATTCTTGACGGGATGGGGATGGTATTTAAAATTCAATCCCCGAACAAATTCGGGTCGGGGACAGAAATAAGTGTCCCAGCTCCGTACCTGGCCCGATCCCGTCCCCGTCCCCGTTCCCCGGCCCGATTTGTCCTCGAAATGAAATTACCAATTTACCCCTAGATATATATACACACACTATGACCTAACCAAACCAAACCCCCATCTCATCCTCTCCAACTCTCTCTCTTTCTCTTCCCTCTACTCTCTCTCGACGTCGATTATCGATCATCGATCATCACGTCGATTGTCGATCATCACTGTAACCAAACTAGATCTGGTGGAGTTCGCGACATCGATCATCACTGTCCACGACACCGGAGGAGTCCTTCCGTCGTCCATCGCCACTGTCGCGACGCAGTCAGCCACAGCCACCCATCGCGACGCCGATGATGCTCTCAGATCGTCCATCGCCACCGATCGTCCTCCTCCATGAACTCCACCAGATCTAGTTTCTCTCTCTCTCTCACACACAGATCTTTCTGTCAAATTTTTATTTTTATTTTTATTTATTTATTTTTTTTTATTCTATATGTTGTTGATCTGGTTGAAAATGTATGTGATGTTGTTGATCGTCCATCTTTCTCTCTCTCTCTCTCTCACTTTAGTCTCTTGATGTTGTTGATCTTTCTGTATGTTGTTGAAAATGTATGTGATGTTGTTGATGTTGAAACAAATTTAGGCGGGGAATTTTCGGGATCGGGGAAACCTGATCCCCGATCGGGGGCGGGGGTGGGGAGAGAGAAAGGTTCCCCGTCAGGGTTCGGGGACGGGGAGTGTGATCCCCGGCCTCGTCCCGCCCCGTCCCGTTGCCACTCCTAGATATCATAAACATGATTAGGTGCCACAATTTTTGGTCAAAAGATTTAGCTCTCGTTTGGCAAATAGCTATTTTAGCCTAAAAGTCAAAAAATTATTAAAAAAATTAAAAAACCTATAACTTACATCCAAAAGTTAAAGATTCTCAAAGAGTGTATATTGGAATTTTTGATATATAATATAAATTTCATTATAAAAATAAAGATAAATTCTAAATTTATTGCCTAAAATATATAATCCTTTTGTGATTTTAAAAATTACAATTATCCCTTATAAGAATTTGTTATTTAACAGAATTGACAAAAAATATGAAATCCCTAGCTATCTTCCTATATAATGATAAAATTATCAAAATTTTTATTTGAAAATATCATTAAAAATTATTAATTGACTTAATAGTTATGCAATTAGAAATTTTCAGAGGCATGATATAATTTTCAAAATCACTAAAACTAATTATTATTGAAAGCAAATGTCAAGAAGTGTATTTATAATTTACCCTAAAAATAAAGTTTGTCAAATATGCATCATTTTCTTTTTCTAATTTTATCATTTTTAAATTTTCATATGACAAAATAATTAATTAGACATATAGTGTTCAATGTTTATTATTTATTATAATAATGATGTACTTTTAAATGGAGAAATTAGGGAGAGATCCTCCATATATGTTTGTGTAAGAGTTTAAGAATAACAAAAATTAGTTTGATAGCTATGGTCAGTAAGATTTAAAATTTTAGAAAGATAAGAACAAACTTTAACATACATGGATCAAAATGCCCTTTTAATCCTATAAACCTTTTTTTTTTCTCTAAATTTTCACCAGTCGTTTATCTCTTTCTTCACAATATATTTGCGGTACCACTTTAACTAAATCTCCAATGTCGTCACCACATCCAGCAACGTTCATCTATTGGCATTCATTCTTTTACTTTCTCTCTCACAACTACATCTATCGACATTCTGCCATTTACCACTGTTGCCTAACTATCGTCATTTATCACCACTGGCAGCCTCTCACCGATCTACGCATAAATCTTGCATGTTTAATTTTCTCTTTGGTCAATTTGTTTCATTATCGCCAATTTGGGTACAAATTTGATAAAGAAGTCTTAAATATCTTTTCTCTCACCTTCTCTCTCTCTCATCCTATTATTTTCTTTGTGTCTTTGTATTTTTCTGTGTTGTAGCACGAAATTTCTCTGTGTTGAAAAAAAATTCTTTGTCTCTATGTTTTTCTCTTTCTCTAAGTGAAATTTCATTATGTAAGTCAAAGAAATTTCACTGTGACGTAACAACGAACACAGTAAAATTTCATGAATTTTTTTTCTTCAAAATTTCATATTACTCATGGATCTTATTTGAAAGATCTTTTCAATAGAAATCTAAAAATATAAATTTTACAAAAAATAGAGATGTAAATCAAAAGTTTAGAAATCACTTAAACAATATAAAAGACAACTAACTATAGGGGCTATTTTTGTCCAAAATGGTTAATCATGTTTGTTGGAGAACCTAAACTACAACTAGAAAATTGTTTGTCCTTATTCTTCTAAAGTAATATTAGTAGAGATCTAAAAAATAAATAAATAAATTATATTCAGGTCTCTAAAAATATTTTGTATTAGTTTAAGGACAATTAAAGTATAATGATTTAAAAACACTTAACTTTTTTCTAGACAAAACTATTCTTAGTCTAGTTTCATTATTCTACTATCTCTGACTATCATTGCCACCTCTAACTGTTGATGACAACTTTTCAGTGACTAGCAATGGTTGTTGGTGACCATTTTTTGGTGGGGGAAAAAAAAATCCTACTAGTTTCTAAAAAAGTGAATTTTTCGATGACTGTTTTCGGTGAGTCTTCTGTGAAATGAAATTTCACTATGCTAAGTTAATGAAATTTCATTATTAGAAACATAAAAGTTTTCAATTAATTGTTAAAAATTACTTATTTGAATCAACTTTTTACATGTTAGGACACGAATTTTTTTATTTATTTACTTTAATGAAATTTTACTTTTAGATTAAGTTAGTGAAATTTCATTGAGTGCTTAAAATTGAAAATTTGAAAGTCAATTGAATTTTCACTATCTTAAAAATTTAGTGAAATTTCACTAACCAAAACCAAACAAAGTTTCACAAAGTTAGTGAAATTTCACTAACCAAATATAGTCAAAATATAGTGAAATTCCATTGACCAAAATTGGTGAAACTAACCAACAACATACAAATCAACAAATAGAGAAATAAAATAAAAACATAAAGTGAGAAATGACATTTGAAAACAAACAATATTCAAATATACTCCATTCAAAATCTCCACTTTCTTGTCACTTTGGCGAAGTCACACCATCAAGTCCTAAAAGTTTTGTTAGATTTGGGATGAGCTAATACCCAGTAGAAATATCATTAACAAAGTATATAAATGATTGAAATGGATATGATCATACTATGCACATGTCAAGATAAAATCTATGCTTTTCTCTTTTAAATAAATGATGTTCAATGCACAACTTGCCATTTAAAATCTCATCATCAATCTTAGACGGTAAATACGCAATGAAGTCCCAAGCAAGAATAAAAAATCACACATATATATAGATTTATATACTAAAAATATACCTATATTTTCCAGCTCTCAATATGATAGAGCGATGGGCACTTAAAAACATTTTTTTTTCACATTTGTCGACTCTAAATACGCTGGGACCAGTCGACACCCAAAAATATTTTTCCACATTTGTCTAATGATAAGCTCAAGAAAAGGTAATTGGACATTTTGAGTCCCTAAACGGGTACCAATACAATACTCATCTCATTTCCAAAACTTGACTCAACTACTCGGACTCATATGATATTTACCCCCTTTCGACATTTACAAATATCTAAGAGATTGTAATAATCATGGAACAAGATCATGAAAATGCAACATGATGCATGAATTTGTAAATGCCTCAATTACCTAAGATTCATTCAATGCTTCAATACGGATTGAACATAATCAACAATCAAAAGAACTTCCAATTTCCACATTCCAGCATACCCAATTTTCCCCCATCACAATGAACATTTCCAAAATGTTTCAAAATCTAAATTCATACACATTTAGACTAAATATCAATTCAATTTCATGATTTAAGGCCCAATTGAATAAAACTTCATTTTTAGAGCAAAGTTCAAAATTAGGGTTTGAATAAAATTGGGACTTTTCTCTCTCTTGCATTTTTAGAACAAATACTTATCATCAAGAACCATTATCATTCATAGTTATTCAAAATCTTTCAAAAGTTTGAGTAAAAACTCTTTTTTAATGCATCAAACCCCATTTAATACAACCCAATCATCTCATACATAAATATAACTAAGAAAGTAGAACATATACATCTCAAATCATAGATATATTAAGTTAAAAGTACCCTTACCTCGAGAATAAGAGCTAACAAGGTGAAGACCCAAGGAGAACTTGGAGAAAAAGTGACCCAATCAATGAAAAGGTTGATTTTCACTTGTTCTTCACTTCTTATGCAAGATTTTGGATGGATTCTTAGTAAAAAGATATGAAATCAAAGGTTTGTGGCTAGGGTTTCTCAGACAAGAAGAGAGGGAGAGAAAGGAAAAATAAAAAGTGGGGTGAAAAGTGACTTTTAATTGGCTAAACCCAAACAGACCACTCAAGCGATCAATACTAAGCTCAAGAGGTGTGAGAGCAAATACCGCTCGAGCGGTGACTTCACCGCTCGAGCAAACAAATCATCCTTCTAGAATTTCATACTTGCAGAGGAGATACTGGTTGTCCCGATTCACTACTTGAGCAGTTCCTTGTTTTCCAAAATGTTACAATAAGGTTAGTTTTGGATCATTAATGTTTTACTTTGTCCTTATTCTTCTAAAATTTGAAATTCTAGGAACTTTAATTAGCAAACAAATTTTCGGTGTCTTTAAACTCTCACACGAACATGTAGAGAGACGTATCCTTAATTTTTTCTTGATTGCGTCAAAAAGTATTTTCTTTATTAGCTTTAC